GTTGGAACTAGATGGTCTTTAAGGTCCCTTCCAACCCAAACCATTCTGTGATTCTATGATTAGCACTTGTATATTTGCATTCCTGTAAAATTAACTCAGTCTTCTCCCGAAAATGCAAAGGCAAATCTAGGACTGACCCCACAGTTGTTACCCTGGCTGTGTCTAGGAGCTGTTGATTTTACAGGTAAGAGGTCCCTCCTGTGACCAACCATTTGTGCCCTCTTTATCCTCCAAAACCCATAAGCAACTCCGAGTCCTACTCAACACCATCATGGGATGATGTAGGTCAATCTCATCCTACTTATGGCCAAGAGTAGATTTACAGACTTCACTGAAATCAGCCTGGACTGACAGCAGATGACTGCCTGCAGAGGTGAGCCCAACAATCTCAAACCATTCAACCAGGAGTCAAAGGTGCAGTCCTGCAGCAGTGCCACAAGTGTGGATTTGAAGCGAGTTGGAAATATAAGGTCATAAATGTTGGATTCAGGTGTTACTTTCGGGATTATAAATATGCGTAAGGTTGCCTTTAAAGAAGATTGCCACATTACTCCAAGCTACCAGTCCCACAGAAGGATCTTATACACATGAAATAGAAATCCTCAGGAAATAGGGATAAAATTTGTAGCAATTTTATCAGGAGGAGAAAGAGATTCAAAATTGTTTCCAGAATGTGCTTATGCTCTCTTTTTATGATTTAATCTCAACAACAAGACAGAATTTAACATTTTAATCACAATGTGGCACTATCCAAAACATGCTGTGATATTAACAGATGCTGCAGAGCCATTTGTATTGTAGCAGAAGTCTGCCTGCAACTCCTGAAATTGATATTTTTAATTTTCCAATGCCACGCACTGCATCACACACTTTAACATAAGGCTAATATTATGCAAGGCGACACTAAATGTGAAATTTCTACTTGCTGGTTTACTTCCAGAAATATTCAAAAATAATTATGGAAAGGTCAGCTTTGAATGTCTTATTGAATCTTATTTGAATCTTATTCAAAAGATCCTTAAATTAGAATGATATCTGCAGCATACATAACGTTCTTTCCTGTCATTATATTAGCTAACTACTGCATAATTCCTTGATAATTACTAAATCCTTAGATAACAGCATTCTGCTGCCACCAGACAAAATCCTTCTACATCTCAGAGGAGTGAGAAAGAGTTTAAGTAACTTAAAATTATTCCTTCAACTTGAAAAGTTATCTACATATAAATATCATAAACTCACATATGAAATATTTAGCATGAACAAAAAAGAAAAAATATGTTCTCTGTCAAATTCTAGCCTAGGTGTTCTTTGGGGGAAATAACTGTAACCATCCTATAGTCTTTTTCTGCATTTGGTAATCGTTTATATCTCCTTTGAGTTGTCAGTATCGTGAAGAAGACTTAGATTTGACACTAGAAATTAAAGGACAAAAAATAACCTTGTTTAGATAATTTAAACTGCATTTGTTGTTGCTCTGGTAATACCATGCTGCTTCTGTGGGACTGTCTCAAACGCCTTTTAGAGAAAGTCCCTACTGGTGTAGCTGGGTTTCTTGTGATACACATTCAGACTCTTCCGTCTTCTGTCAGGAATTTTTGACTAAGATCATCTGTGTGCTCCTTGTACACGTGTAATCAACTTTTCAGATAGTTTAACATGAACCTGAAGGATTAAGACTCCTTATCTCTTTCCTTCTGTTTAGTGTATGTTCAGTTCTGTTATTGTCCCTAAAACCTGGTCAACCCCTTTGATGCAACGAACATCACAAAACATTATCTATACAAGAAATTTACCTCAAGTTGAACTTTTTGTTCTAAGTTCTTGTAAGTTCTCTGCAGTAGCTCTTTTGTGCCAAGAACTCCATACCACATCATGTTTTTTGTCCGACTTCTGAAAACAAGTAAAATAAGATTCACATACTGAAATACAAACATTATATCTTGTATTTTTAGGATAAGGAAAAAACCCAGACTAAATAGGTAAGGAAAACAAAGTAACAGGAAGGTCTTGGCTCTGTCACTGACAACTGTATTACCTGCACTTTTCAGGGTGCTCTTCTCGCTTGTTATTAAATTCTAGTGAAATTTTTGCATCTAACCCAATTCCAAAGTAGTTGTTCATGACACATTTTTCTGAATATCCCTCCCTGTTAGAAGAGAAGAGATAATTAGGTGTACATTTGTACAGTACCTGGACACACAGAGCTTTGACCAAGATTGCGGCTATACATCAACTGAGAAACCTCAGGACATGTTTCCTCTGAATCTCCTGTGGAAACCCAACAGCGGTCAAACAGAGAGATCAGCTGCTAGAACCTCTGCAAGCACAAGTTACTTCCCATAGGGCAAAGAAGAAACTGTACCACACCCTCATCCAGCACTATCTCCACCATCCCCAAATTAACAGAGGGATAAGAGGAAGGAGCTGCCCTGGGCACAGCACTGAGACAGCAGCACCACCCGGGGTCGAGCACCCAGGCTGTGTTTAGGCATGCTGGTGCTAGATGTTTGGCTGATGCTGCTGGCACAGCAGTGCTTTGTTTTAGGGGAGCCACAGCCCACAACCCAGATACTATCCCTATGTCTCTGCCAATGCTACACGCACTTCTGGAAAGCAGAGACAGCTTAGGAAACAAGGTTTTCATCTCACTGCTCCAGTCCTTAGGGGGACACTCTTCTTCCTCCACTACGAAGTGCCCAGACCTGCTTCAACATGTTGCTGGTGGCTGAGCTTGTGTTCAGACCAGCGGGGTTCGGGAAGGAAAACCCAGCTCTGAAGGACTGCTGGCCTCTTCCTCTCAGAGCTAGTGGGCAAGGGGTAAGTGAGCAAATGCCTCCTATCATTTCTGCTGCTGCAAGACAATTCTGCAATATTTATAACTAAAATGGCACAAACCAACCTGTTTTCAGGTCTTGAGGTCTACTGCCATATGACAGAATACAGAATTTCATAATGGAAAGAAAAAAAAAAAACCCAACAAGAACTCCAAACTAAAGCAAAACAGCAAATTTAGGAAAAAAAAAATTCTTACAGTGAATCTGGATCCGGGTCAATAAACGGCGTAGCACCAAAGGGATCGATGTTTGCTAGCAACATTTTGCTAATAATTGAACTTCCTGCAATAGAAGCAGCTAGACCAGCCCTCAAACCTGATTAAAAAAAGGGAAAAAAGACACAAAACCAGTTTGTGTTTGATAAACAGAGAAACATACACTGTCATAAGACACATACTGAGAGACAAAATGTTCATTAAATCCATATAGGGAATGATTGTGCTTCTATCAGTTTTTACCTATATTGCTTATCTGCTCAGGTCTCTCTCTGGCTCTCTGGAGCAGAAAGGCAGCTGAGCCCTTGCCAAGTTCAGCTCCATGGCAGAGGCTGGGCTAGATGACCTTTCGAGGTCCCTTCCCACCCAAACCACTCCGTGATTCTAAGACGCTGAATTGCATTTTTCATCCTCCAGAATCAGACACAACACTTGTGCTACATCTGGTGATGTGCCAAATGGCCAGGAATCTTCTACATTATTCTGCATTTCCTACTATATAATACAACACAAATATGTGTATGTCACTTAAAACAAATTCAGGGCTCCTCACACAAAGTAAAAATCATTATTTGACTGCAAGCAGAGGAACAGAAGGCAATATTAAAGTACTGTAAGGAACAGCAGATTTCAATATTATAATTACCTGGGCAGATAATCCTAGTGTTAAGCACTGGGAGGTTTTCCTTACTTGCAGCCAAAGCTGGAGCAGAGAAAGATCCTGTCTGAGAATGGATACCTCGGCTTGTACGTCGATCTGGAGATCTTGGTGCAGTTTTAACTATGCAGAAGAAGTAAAAGTAAGAGCATTAATTACACCTATTATGACATTACCCTACATAGTTTTTAACTCCTGAAAATATTTCAAAAGCATTCATTGAATCTGTTACCATTCTGTGACAAATATTCTTCACCCTCACAACAGTTTTTCTTCTAAATACAGGGAAGGAAACTCAGAAACAGATCAAGTGACAAGCAGAAATTAAAACGAACAAGTGTGCATGGCATTCGATGTGACAAGTTCCCAACTTATGCTTCAAACTACTAGCAAAAACTGAACTATATCCACCGTAAAATGCAGTAGTATTTAATGCTGTAGTAAGCATCTGATAAACATGTTAATGAAATAATACAAATTTGGACTTAAATTCCATGTATGTTTACTTATGAATATACCTATATTCTATAGTTGATTATTATTTATAACAATTTTAGTATAGACAGCTATTCTAACTCATAGACCATGGAAATACCCAATCAACAGCCATGCTATCTGCTTCAAGCAGCTAAAACAGACCCCCTGCCTGCTTCAGGTTTCTGAAAACCTCAAACAACACACTGATGTCTTTATCTACAGCCACCCTGAAAACTGCAAGGGAAGGGAAAGCCATGTTCAGGCATTCTTGTCCTCTGCAGTTAGAGATATCACGGGCGAGATCAATTTCCCGTCATCTCCTTTTTCACAAAAAACCAAACAGCAATTACCAAAATAACTGAAACAATCAGCCCCGTCAGACGTAGGCAGAACTTGGGGCCCAACGACAAAAGTTTGGGCGTTACCAAATGCTTTGCTATAGCATTTCCATGTGCGTGTAGAAAGCTATTGCACACCAGATGATCATCCATATTTCTTGGCTACCTCTGCTCCAAATTATCTCACATGTCAGAACTACTTCAGCTTAGGAAAACTTCAACCTTGATCATCCGAAGAAGCTCAGAACAAAAAATGAAATTATTACAAAGTTATCTATATATTCCTCTCAAAACCTGAAAACTAATGCAGCAAAAATCGAATGATTAGGACTAGAACCAAGAAAGCAGAAGAAAAACATCACCAGAAATGCGGTGGGAAGGATAAAATATACTCCGTTTTGTGGCAGGAGGGGGACAGATCCGTTTACATCAATCACGATAACTCAGCCTGAGAGTAACATGGGTGCACTGTCTGAAGACTCTAATGGAAAGGAAATGCAGAGTGGAAAAATCTCCAGACAAATGTAGTAGCAAGAACTAGGGTTCAGAAATTGTGATCAAATCAATTAAGGCCAGGATTTGGGCAATCCCTTTCTTTTTTTTTAAGTGATGGAACATTCAATGACATGGCAAATTCTTCACCCCTTTGTATCCCAGGAATAAGATTAAACATCTTTCTGTATGACTTGCTTAAGTGAAACAGAAATTATTAGAGGCAGGACAGGGATAAGTGGGTGAAATTTTCTGGGCTGTTTTATACGAAAGATCTGACCAAGTGGACTAACAGCTCTTTCTGACTTTTGACACTTGTATAACAGCCTTAGCAATTATCATAAAATGCTATAGTATTGCATGATAACAATGTAACACAATGATTTCTATCTATGCATGACAAACCACTGTAATACAAAGTTAAAAAATGTAAAGAAATAAAAACTGCAAGTGATATCTAAAAAGAGTTATTAAATATTTAGATGAAGGTAAAGAACATACGGAAAAATATTATCTTCCATCACATGACCAGAACATCCTCAGAGGGTAAAACATAATATTCAGAGCAAAACTAACATTCATTTTTCATAATGCTACTGAAAAATTCACAATGCTATTCACACAGTCTGTTCTCTCTGTACTTGGGAACAAGGCAGTTATATTACACAGGAAAATCAACAGAGCAGCTGCTCTTTATTTGACAGATGAGACTCATGGGGATAACTGCAATAAAGATAAACTTTTGCTGTTCATGCTCTGATAAAAACAACAGAGCCTTAATGAGTGAAACTGATGTTTCATTGCAGATAATTGAATTCATGTTTCATGCTTTGTCCCTAAACACCTATCTTCCACTGACAGCATTAATATGCACTCCATTTCACACGTATCAGATGTATAAAGAGTAATGCAGCTCCCCAATGAACGCAGAAATTGTATCACCACGAAACAAGGGTTCATATGTATTTCTACATATGGGTATACATATATTTTTATTTTATTATATATCTACAGCAGTAGGATTGGGTCATCTGTAGGGCCAGCATCCTGCATGAGCTACTATTGAAACTGAACAACCATCAAGCAGTGATTCCTATAACCAAAGTAAAAGGAGAGGGGCCAAAGAACAGACAATCACTGGGGAAAGTCAGAAATCCATCCCTGGAGAAAAGGAAATGTGAGATTCTGAATCAACAGAAGCCCCAAGAGACTATAATGTATTTCTAAGGTAGGAGCTGCTGACCCAGGCAGCAGCTTCAGAGCAGAGCCTCATGAGGACAACACCTTTTGAAGATCTTGGGTTAGTGTGGGTTAGGGTAACAGAAAGAGATGCAAATCCCAAAACAACTTTGCTCATTTTGCCACAAGAAGTTGCTTGCTAAGTATCTAGAGGATGGCTTTTGCTGTCCACCACCTACCACTCTTTCTCCATGACGCACAGATTATCTTGAGACTTCACCTCCTGTACGTCACTGCCCTCTTTGGTAGTATGGCAAAGCCTGAAATTTCCACCTATGGTAGGAAGCAGCTATCCTAAATGGACTATGCAGCTTGAGACCCTTGAACAACCCTGGCACATGAACTACCAGTCAAGACAGGAAGCAGCGGACTATGGACTAAAATGGACTATGGACTAAATGGACTAAATGGACTATGCAGCTTGAGACCCTTGAACAACCCTGGCACATGAACTACCAGTCAAGACAAAATGCAGTATTGACGTTCGTGATGGGATATGTCCAAACATGACCTCTGGATGGATTGGCTTGATGACAAAACCAAGCAATGGAGGAGGTAAGTGAGGGTCCCATATAAACAAACTGTTCTTCTTCCTTCCACTGCAGCCACTCGCTGGCAGATTTCATAAAGGACACATGGAGGAGAGATTTTAACCTATCACTGGAATGCAGGAATTAGAACTATGCTATTTCAGGAGATGACTATTCTCTAAATACTATTTTACACACAGTAACCAAACACTGAATAACCAAAAGGAAAGCTTAGTGACAAAACGGGCTATTAGTTAATGAAACTGCTACCTTACAAGCAAGCTGTTATAGACAGATCACTCAATATTCTGATTGCTTTGTACAGTAGTTAATACAAATAATACGACTGGGTTCTTTCTGTTGCATTTTAAAACCCAGCTTGGGCTACTGACACATAAATGCTGTCTCCCTTTTTTTTTTTTGGAGAGTAACCTGCAGAGCCCCACAGTGAGGACAGAACGCAGTTCCTGCAGGAAAGCAGAAGCACTCAGACAACAGCAGCTGGTAAAGTCCCTTCGACCAAGGACAGAGCAGGTAGGAGCGTCTACACCTTGGAAAAGCAAGAGTATAGTGGTATACTGGCTTGCCATATGGCTTGCTATACAGCTGCAAGGAACTAGCTGGACGAATGACCTGTATTTGGGACAACAGCACAAGAAATTTTTCATGGGAAGGACCTCTAGGATGTCAAAGACTTTGGTTCAAATTTCTGTTCTGGATTAGATAAACGGAGAGGGTGACCTTAGTACTGCCACTTCTCAGGAGAATTCCGTGTTTCAGTTTCTATTAAATTATTTCCTGCTTTGCACTGTTCCACTTCATAAAGAATACTTAAATTCATCCTCCCTGTTCCAATAACTGTTTCAAGGCAAGTTCCCAGCTGAGCCATCTGGGTTTTGTTGTCAATAAAATGAATAAACATGTCTGTTTCACACAACTTGAAACCCCTTCAACAGAAATGACTGACAGAAGTTCCTATAATACGTCCTAAAAACGCATACGGCTGAGACATGCGATTGCCACCATTATCGAAGCTCTAGTCCCTGTGCAGGTTCATGTAGAAAGGTGACTGTAAACACTGGATTAAATGCAGGCACTTCTCTCCCCAGCAAACACCTTCTCAGCTTTGTAAATCCTTTCCAAAAGACTGTTCATCTCTGCCATTTTCCCCTCAACTTTTATTTATCCAAATCTATTAAAATTTGGGACTAGTTTCCAGTGAAACAACATGCTTGTCCTTTTTCATTATGAAGCCAACTATGCTCCATATTACAACTAAAAGGAAACAGCATGTTGTTAAATGCATTTATTCCTAATTTACTCACCTGATAGGGACTCAAGTTCCTTTGTATCTTCTTCTTTTTCCTCTTCTTTAGAGTCATCCAATTCCTTGCTATATTCTAGTGGGGACTGGTTCACTTGCTCTTCACTGTGAGCATTTTGCTCGTCCACAACTGCATATTTGAAAAAGACAAAGTCCCAAGATCTTTAAAGTAAATCTGCAAGAATGGGAAATTAGCTTCTTTTCTTTCCTGTAGCTTTAACTTTCAGTTTAAAAATACTAAGAAAAGATTTCTATTGGAAATTCAGTGAAAAGAGTCTAGCAATCCTTTGCCCATTGATAGAGATTTACTGCCAGAAATGTTCGTTTTGTGAAGGGTAATAGTTACAAAGGAAACACACTTGCATATGTGCACACATGTGCATACATACGTATTCATATATACAGACAGTCATCAACATCCAAACACGCTATATTTCCTTCCCTTGCAGCTTGTAATAAGCACATACTTTTATCTCCGTGAGAATGTCAAAATCACGCTTTAATAATGAAAATTGATGCTGGTTAAAAAAAAAATAAAAAGCATCATTAGTCTATCAGTAAGGATCAAAACGTTGCTGATGTGCACCTTTTTCTGCTTGTTCAATGATCTGTCTCACAGCCTTCTTCAAGCTGTTTGCCCGGAGCATTAACTGTTCCCTCGGTTTGAAGAGTTTCTGGGTGGAAGACTTTGAGACACACTCCACTAATTGCTCTTTACTTTCAGACAAGGATTCTTCACTTGAGAACTCCTCTGCTTCTTCTTCCACAATGGGGGGAGTGATGCCTGGGAGAATGGGAGCAGCCTGGGCTTCTGTGTGAAGAGCCTGGAGCAATAGGTCTAGCTTCTCATTTAACTCAGTGCACTAAGACAAAGTCAAAAAGAATACATGCACACCCAAAAAAACCAGTAAATACACAAACATTTTCAGGAAATCAAGCACCAGGTTATAGGGAGGGAGCTAAATTCTCCATGCAGTAGAATTTAAAACTGTCTGTGTCTATGTCATTGTCTATGTAAAATTCAAACCCAGGTTCAGTATTTCACAATCTCACATTATGAGTGGGGTCTGCATGGGTTTTTGCAGACTCTGTGACACCCAGCCAGATTACAGCAATTAAAACAAACCCCACCCCTACACTTAGACTAAAATAACACACTACGCTACACTCAGCCTGCCACATAACTAAGGTACAGATTAGATCTTGCTCTTCTGATGGTCTGCAACACAGAGAGAACCAGCACTGATTTACCCATACCATGCATCACAACAAATTACGGGTGCTCACTACCCCGATTTGGAGAGATAACCTATGGGGAGATGCTCAGCTGTTAGACTGAAAACACATAGTGGGTTTGGGTTTAGTTGGCTTTTTGTAACACAGGTGCACATTTAAGCAACTGAGTTGTCACAGAGCAAATAGGGTCAAGAGACAACCAAACACTGTCCAACACCTCTACCCCTGACCGAGTGGTTGCTCTCTTGGTACATGGGAAAAGAGGTGATTTTCTGTGCTTAAGGGAAAGGAAACCAAAACTGTTTGGAATAGTAAAAAAGAAAATTAATTTTCTAAAATGTACACTGAATAGAAACGTGAAACAGGAACTGCCATTAAGCAAGTACATTTTCAGATTCTGGGATTGTTAGTGAATCTGTTTTCTTCTTTCCTTTTCAGCTCATGTAAATTTTGTGCCCCATACCAATCCTTCTTGTTTCTTTCAATGTTTTTGCAACATGATCTCTACAATTTACATCTTAAACCCATTAACACTGTAGTCTCTCTTCCATTCCTTCTCCCAGCATACTCCCTCTTCATTATCCCATTGTTTTCCTGTAACTAAATTCCTTTCAGAGAAAAGTGTAACTCCTGTACTTCCACTTATGTCTGTGTACGTTACCATGTACTTTATCCTTTCTGAAGGAAAAATGTGTAAACAGAGTTTATATAGAGTTTCCAAATAACTTCTACACACTATGAAGAGAAGAATTTTTAAGGCACTGGCTGAAATGGAAGCCAATCTGGGCATCTGTCCCTGCCATGGGACATGGCAGGGGAGGTTGGAACTAGATGATCTTTAAGGTCTCTTCCAAGCCAAACCATTCTGTGATTCTATGATCTCCATTTCTGGAGAGGTTCAAAAATTAAACGCCCAAGAGCTATAACACAAGAGCACAACGTTAAACGAGAAAATAGTCATTGTCTTACTTTAATGGCCATGGCATCAGCTTCCTCTGCATTTTCCATTGTTTTTTCATAGGTCTTCCCTATTTTGGCAACGAAGTCCTTTACAGTTTCACATAATATTCTTCAGATAAAAATAGGAGAAGGGAAAAATCAAATTAAATTAAATATATGTTCTGAATATTAAATTATTACAGCAATTGGTTTATATGCGTACTCTATACACCACTCTTGCTGGAAACTGAACTCTGATCATATTTGCAAGGCAGATGATACTCTTTTCCATGGCTTGCTAGTGATGATGAACTTTTAAAACAAAGCTTCTTCCTCCCTTTTTATTTAAGCCTTTGCACGCATTGTATCTTAGTCTCTTATTTATTATGGAGGGCTGAAGCACCTCTCCTGTGATGAAAGGCTAGGAGAGTTAGGCTTGTTCAGCCTGGAGAAGAGAAGGCTCCGGGGAGACCTTATAGCACCTTCCAGTACCTGAAGGGGCTACAAGGAAGCTGGGGGGGACTTTTTACAAGGGCCTGTAGTGACAGGACAAGGGGTAACGGGTTTAAATTGAAAGTGGAGAGGTTTAGATTGGACATCAAGAAGAAATTCTTCATGGATAATGTGGTGAGGCACTGGAACAGGTTGCCCAGAGAAGCTGTGGATGCCCCATCCCTGGGAGTGTTCAAGGCCAGGCTGGATGAGGCTTTGAGCAACCTGGTCTAGTGGAAGGTGTCCCTGCCCATGGCAGGGGGGTTGGAACTAGATGGTCTTTAAGGTCCCTTCCAACCCAAACCATTCTATGATTCTATGATTTCTAAGAACTGAAATAAAAGGGACTAATTTTATCTGTTGTCTTGCTTGTACACCTTCCATACCGGAGTTATTAGCAAAGTTGCCTTCACTTTGCTAACTTAAAACAGAGTCTTGCAAACTCCCATGCAAAGATGGAGCCTAGAAACCATGGAGAAAAGCTACTGACTTTAATGGAGCACTTCTGAGATGAAAGCCTATGGCCATACACATCCTATTGCACACCTCGTGCTTTTGAACCACAGCTGACCCTGAGGCATGCCTATGCAAACTGCAGCGACTGCAATGCATTTGTGTTGTGTAAATCTGAGAAAGAGTTGGTTCTTATTACCTGTACTGCAGACAGACAGCAAACTTAGGAACGAGGTGTGGATAATTGCTTAGTACTGTTCATTGGGTTGAAATTGATTTGACAGAAACTAAATACTTAACAAGATACAGACCCAATTTAGAATTGGGAGTTATAATAATATCCTGCAGTTAAATTTTCAACATGTGCTATGTATACTTTAAAAATGAAATTTTATTAACTTGCTTTTCACAGAAAAACACCCACATTCAGATGTATTTTTGAAGACAGTGTCACTGGTCTTTTGCGTATTGCAAAATGTAAGGTTTTTTTCCACAGAGAAAGTATACATGGAATACTTCTGATTTCAGATGATGTCCATGATTTCCCAACTAATTTTATCTTATATTTACGTGTTTCAGTATGAAGAAAAAAGCCCATTGTCCAAGTCTGCTATTTATGGAATTGACACAGAGAGTGCTAAGACAAAGCTACCTATCTGAAGTTCTGCTTCATACTGGGGAAGTTGTTTCTTCTCTAAATGATACGGATATTCATTCAACAAAACAGAAAAAAATTAACGTGAAGTAGATCACATATTTGTATTAGTTTAAGATGCATAATGATTTGGAGTGATTTAAGACCACTTTAATATTATGTGATTTCTTTTTTAAAATGTTGATGTGTTGAGAATTAAGATATACATTACAATAATACCATATAAAAATTTTGCAGAAAAAATATCCTCTCTAAAACATATACATCAAGATATATTAAGTCAAGCCATCTGGGCCAACCATAAGAAAATCAGGCTTACACAGAAGGTTATTATGGTGATGATGTCACACAGGGGATTTATCCCACACATAAACCCTATCAACTCACTTGGCAGATGATATGACAACTGAGTGCTGATCAGAATTGAGAATTTTTGCAAGATGAGCAGCTACTGAGTCCTCATAAGCAGATATCTGAAAACACAAAAATTACTTCAATTTCCACACATTTCAGCAGTTTAACACCAAGTAGTGAGTTAAAATGCCTTCAAAAATAGCAGGATTTCCGATCTAATATAAGGACAAGCAGCTAGCAATGAAGATTCTACCTGTATACTGTATTTTATGTACCAGATTTTTAATATTCAAAGTAACACTGCATCTGAGAACTTGATCCACAGCTCTTTTCCTCCTGAAGAGGAAACAGTAAGCTATTTCTAGGCTAAAAATAATCCATGAGGTAGGAAAAAAAAAAATCTACCTTCTTTTTAGAATTCTAACAACCTAAACTATTATATTCTAACATCTTTTATTTCTAAACCAAGTAGTTTCCCTCAAACTAAGCTGCTCAGCTAAGAACAAATCAAAAGTTTGCAGTTTTAATCCAGATGGTCCCTTACTCCCAAAGTACCCCTGCTGCTAAGTGGTATATGTTATCAAAACCAATCCTTAAGGAGCAAACCATTTAGGGCTTTGTCTTTATAAGAACGTTTGGGAAAATGCATGTGTGCATGGTCTGTCTCTTCTTGCACAGGAGAATTATAAAACCTGAAATACTCAGGCAAAGACACTCACATCTTCACACACTATATCCTGTCTTAAAATAGGCATGAATCCAGACCTCAGTTTTAAGAGAAAATTCTAACCAAATTGCAAATGTAGTTCTGAAATAAATGCAGTTCTGAAATTTTCTGATGGCTTACTTTAAGAATCTCTTTGTGTGTTTTTACCCTTGATATGAAGCAGGTAGATAAACCACTCTTTTTTTTTCTCCTAAACTGCAGCCTTAGTTGTAAAACACTGACAGTAAATCAGTTTTCATTTCAAGGAAAAAACCACTATGTAACCATCTGATCCATAAGAACGAACTACTGTTGTTCAAACACCAGGACAAAACTTCTGGAACCAAACCAAGTGAAACAAGTCTCCTGAAACTGAAGGAAGGAAAAATAACAAAAAATTGGCTATGTACTTCTGTTTACTTTTTGAACTGCATCTTAATATATTGCCTACTGTAAGGTTCATCATTCTTTTTCTGAAATACCATAACTCAACAAGGCATGCAAAACCCATTAAAATAGAGATAGAACAGCATACTCAAAGGAAAAAAGGTTTCTCCAACTCAGAGTAATGGCAGTTAACTATAGCTTACAGATCCGATTTTCTAAAAAAAAAAAAAAAAAACCAAAAACCAAAGAGGTTTTGTATGCGCAGTTCCATTTTCAGGAGGTGCTAAATACAATTTCAAAACCAGAACTATCTAGAAGAAAATGTATTTTTTCCTTTACATGATGAAGATACACTTGAAAATTTTGAGAGTCTGGCAAAATGAGAGAAGATAAAGCCTCGGTCTGACACTGGAAAAAGGGCTGTGTAAAAAGCAACCCTGTTAAAATCTCAGCCAGGGAGGCCCAGTCTTTTTGCATCTCTATATCCAGCAAGCTGTCAAAGGTCACAACCTTCTTGCCAATTAAAACAGCCTGAATTATTAAATTATTCAAGAACCTGCTGATTAATTATTGCTCTTCAAGTATTTTTGAGCCAAAGTCGATATGCTTTAACTTTCTAAAGAAATAAATCATATTCTCATTTTCAGTCAGACTTTTCATGCCAATTAATTTGATTAAAGCATCTTGCTCTCCCTCAAAACTGAAACCTCATCACATAGTTCAAGCACAAACCTAGTCTAAAAGATAGACTAAGCTTTTCTTTGAGGTCACTTATGATTTAGAGCTCTCTGAAGAAACAAAGTGAAAGTTGGGTGGTATCAACTGATCTGACTTTTACAAGCTGTGAAAAGCTTCTTTCTTTCTTTCTTTCTTTCATCCAGAAACAACCCTTGCCCTCAAAACGTCTTTTTCAATGCTTAGTCCAAACTCAAATAAAATCACTTTGCTTTATATATACAAATATATTAATATGTTTCCAAGTATTGATACATCATATTATAGTACACATAGTATTATATAATAACACACTACTATATTATTATGTATGAAATTACATAAAATTCATTCTTATATAAAATAATTTAATTAAATAGATAATCCTATTATATGATAATACTATCTTATATTCTTATATAAAGTATTGCAAATTACATATAATCTAAGATATTGTAAATATATAAAAGATACATTTTTCAGGAATAAATTTTTCTGACTGCTCTGCTGAAGACTCCTTACCTTCATTCATTTTTGTCAAATAATACAGAACTCGAAATCCTCATTATTTGAGATACAAGCCATGAACAGATATTGACTCAGTTCTGTTAGCAGATCACAAAACACCTGTTTCTGTTGTTCACACAAGTGCTTCAATTATAAATACTGTCATCTCAGAAGCTCAGAGTTAAGTATACGAAACAACAAAACAAAAGTAAAAGTCCACCTGGCATTCCTCCGACTCTTCTGCAGTCACTGGAAGAAGAGAAGGCTTTGCTGGTAATTTCAGTTCATATGACATTATACTCCACCTGAAAGAATCATAACAGCTTTTAAGTTTCCAGATTGTTAGTTTTATCTTTTCTCCAACATATCAAAACAAGAAAACTCATTGCCACACCACAGAGTAACGTGTTAAAAAACCCAAAACCAAAACAACACACACAACAAATTAATTTTTAATTGTATGCTACCTGAATATGGGTGAAATAATTAAGAATAATGGTAGTAATTTGTTGCTCAGACATATTGTTAGTGATCTGATGAGGAGCCTTCTTTGTAGGCAAACCATGGGACATTCAATGCAGGCAACAATGATTTTCCAGCAAAATATTCACAGTTGTGCTGGTTTTAGAATGAGAAAATATATGTTTTCCTGGAGAAAAAGCTCCAAGTTAACATTAGCTTTTCACCTCAACTAGGGATGGGAGGCATGAGAATAAAGCAAATGGTGAAGTATCTTCATTTACACACATATAATTTTTCCCCTGGTAAAGGACAGTACTCTACAGCACAGATAGTATGAAACCACTAATAGCAACATCCTTCAAAACCTGCTGAAAAGAACAAGTAATCAGTGCAGATGGCCTTGGGAGCAAGTCCACTGAAATTAGAGCCAAAAATGAAACTGAGCTTTTTTCTGTACAGAAAAAGGCAAACACGATTTAATCCATGAATCTTTCAGAATGCCTAGGCCAACAGTTACTTCTAAGGATCAGTAACAAGCATTTAGCTGCATACTTTGCCATAAAACAATCAAGTAGTCTGCAGAAGTCTTTAAAATAAACTTGTTTCTCTATTTCATTTTAAAAAATCCTAAAATCCTCTTCGATGACATTCACATGTTTGTAACTATAGCAAGAACAGAGACACCCATGGGAGAAAGGGGTAAGAGTAAGAAATACCCTCAAAAGCAGTTCTTACACCTTCAATGGAATGATATGACCATCACCTTCTCTGACTTTTTTAAAATTGGGATTGCTCCTTTCCTTTACAGATGAAAACCACACAAGACAAGGAGTGGGAAGATCACTAGCTTTTCCCTATAAAAATGCCTCAAACAGAAGCATAAGCAGTGGATCAAACCAGAGGTGCAGTTAGACCAGCATCTTCTCCACAGCTGATGCCTCAGGGAACTACATGAAGGGTGAAAGCACACGCCGCAAGCTCTCCCCACATCCAAAGACAGAGAGCTCAGGTGTTTCCTAAATAAAGATGCTACCTGTAATTGTATCTGAGAGCATGCAGGGAGCCCATAAAACTGTCCCAAATGGTTTTGCACCTGTACAATTTCTCAATGCTTACAAACTTTTTGAAAGAGGCAGTGATGCAGCTTCATGCAATCAACTGTCTCCTTTTGTTACCTTTAGACAACAGGCTTCATGGTTTCATTAACTGTTATCTCCTCTCGCTTTTCAGTTTAAAAAGCATGTTAAAGGGCTGTCCCCATTACTCTCTTGGTTTCTCTCATGATTATGCCCTGCACCCTAAAACCAAAGCCACTGAACACTGTCTCCAAGACAGATTTAGGCCACCAGAAACCCAAACAAACACAATTTGAATCTCATGGCAAATCATGTATATGCACATTTAGGTTTACCTGTCCAACATTTTCGTGCTGGCTCGTTCTAGTTTCTCCAAAATCTGAGGAAGTTGCGTATCATCATCACAGGATCCTCCCCAACCAAGGACACGAGCAAGGTCATTTCCAGTACCAAGGGGTAACACTCCTAACTGACACTGAAACACAGCACAGAAGCAAATCTACTACTGAAAACTAGAAAAAAGGACAAACTATTACAAATAGTTGTTATTTCAAGCAACAAACAATTATACAGCTGATGTCTAAAGCTTGGAAAACAAACTGTGTAATCCCAATACAATTTACTGTTTACGCCAGTGGAAATTTTCATGTAACTATTGAGTTTGGCCCATCTCCACTTATATGACAAAGAACCAAGGCAAGGAAAAGGGTACAGAATTAAGCCTAGTAAGTCTAGTCAAGGAAAGTAAGTATACACACTTGCCTGTTTGTGCAAGCTGAGCTTATCAATTTCTGACAAGACCCAACCCACGCTTCCATCGCCACCACACACAAGGATCCTGAAGTTGTCAAACTTCTGAAACAACCGCAAACTGCAGAGAAAATGCAGCCTGTTAGAGCCAGTTATGTCCATTAGCAAGAGACCAGTTACATCATCAGCAATTGTTACATGAAAACACGGTGCACAGCACCTTTATGGTGTTTCTTTTATTGTTATGGGGTACATGGGTGCAACCAGCTACTCAATAAGCCTCTGTGCATCCCTACTATTGCTGTATATTCTACTTATACTAACATTTCTGATAAATAACATGCCAAGGTTTACTTCAAAAAATTCCCTTGATATTGTTTTCAGGATTTTATTAATATTACTTTATTAACATTATTAATATTTTTAAAATAAATTCTAAGCTATGAAATTGCAACTGCTCTACGCTTCCCACTTCAGCCAGAAGCACAATGCACCACAGGGAATTTTTCAGAAGAGGTTAAGACAGGATGACAGGATGCACTTCACAACACGGGTGGGCTTTTGCCAACAAGTAACTAACCAAATGCAAGGACAGTTGAAGGTAATTATTACACATAAGGTGATCACAACAATATAAGACAAATAATAGTATTTCATGTAAGTCCTTAAAGCCATATCCTGCTTTCACTACCTACGGCTCTTCTTTCTGCTCTCTCACTTTTAACAGCTACAGGATACAGCACTTGGGCAGTAGAGAAAGGGAGGACAAGAGAGACAGAACACGCAGAAAGGTGAGACACAGAGGAAAGGGGAATGAGATGTGAAGAAACAGCCAAGAGGTAAAAACAACAGGGACTTAAACTTAAAAAAACAAAGAATTGGGAAGTATAAACTCTAAAATAATAAAAAGGAAGATGTTTCATTTTAATGCATGTTATTTTCCAGAATATGTATAACCTCCGAACGATTTCTAAAAGCAACATATTAAGATCATACATTTTTTTAAGCATTTATATTTATTCTAAAGAAAATAATGTCACTTGTATATGATAGGCAGACACCTGCTCAGAAAAAAGGATGCAAATATTTAAGGAAAAAAAATGTTGAAACCAGAACTATTTCTCCTACCTTGAGAAAAGGAAGAAAACCCCTAGAAATACACTGCCTGAAAGAATGCAACTCTGCTTTTTAGATCAAATCAAAGAAGACATCAGCACTATCTGATAGAATAACTGCTAAGGACCTCTCTTTGGAAACTGGGAAACATACTTAGAAGTGACCAACCTGACCTACGACTACCGGGAAAACACGAAGTGAGCCTCCTGACCATGCTGCAGGTAGGTATAACTATATGAAGCAAGAGAACTTGCATACAGATACATTTTTAAAGACTGTCCTCTCTCAAAAATTGTTTCTCCAATTAATATGAACCTTCCATACTTTAATCTGTCATTGTAATTACATGTACAAAATGTTAGGTGAAAGTCACTTAGATCAAATTCAGATTTAAATCAGGGTTATAATGAAAAGAAAATTACAACTGAAAAGGTTAATATAACATGTCCATAACACAGTACTAATTATAAAAACCAATATCTATATTCCATTATATTTGTATTATTTGCCCACTGTTTGAAATAAATTTTAGTGTATTGGTTTCATCTACATTTTTATCATGCAAGCACAATTCCGCATCGTTAAGACTACAAAAACTAGTTTTTCTAGTTGCTGTAACTGATATTAATAGGCTGTTTAACCACAGTGATACATCTGAGTGGAATTAAATCAGGCAACACAAAAACGTGCGTGAACCTAATCTTTATGAATGTTCAAAGATGCTGGGGTTGTGGCCACCCCTATGCAAATTTCATCCTTATCTTTCCAACAATCAACCCTTAGATTCTGTAGAATGCCCGATGGTTTTAATCGTGTTCTTGCTCCAGACTTTGTGAGATGTTAATTTTCTTGACCATTCGCATATGTTGCCTAAAACCATACTTCCATTGTAGTTTTCCAGAGACAACAGTTTTAGTGTACTCATCCATCAACAACTGCAGAGCGCCCCACGGACATTAGCATTCAGAATTCGAAAAGATGCCAAGTACATGTAGACAGCAGCTTTATTCCCCAGCTATTCACAACAAAGTCACAGGAATATCTGAATTACACATATGAAATGGAAGAAAAGCACCCAGACAACTGTGCATAAAGGCCCTGATTCAGGAAGGCATGCACATGTGCTACAGTTTTGAACCTTATCAATTAACAGAAGTCAAAGCTAGCCAAAAAGCTACAAATAACTTGGGCTGATGGGTTTTAGGTTTGGATTTTCAAGTAAGTTTTCCTAAAAGGAAAATATTATCTTAAAATCCCTTCACCCACCAAAACTCATACTGAAACTCGGTTATCTCTTAGATTTTAATTAGGAAGTCACAGTAGATACTGGTGATAGAATTACAGAAATGAGGGGACAACACAACACTATACTTCATACTAAATTCACTTGCAGAAAGGATTGCTCAAGATTTCCAAGGTCATTACCCTAAGTGAGGTCCTCCATTCATTAAATCGAACACCTGAGCTGGATTTAACGACTGTTTGAATCGACGAAGGAACTTTACTCCCTGATTGTCTCCACTCTTTGAGTTAACAAAAACTAAAAGAGGACTGGCACAGGATGGCGGGCATGTGGCTTTCCAGAAACCTGTGAACATAGTTAGAAAGAATGAAATAAATAAGGCTTTCTAATATGAGCAACACAAAAAGAAATCATGGGAAAGAGGAAGAAAGAAATGAAGGACAAGAGGAGCACATTTTATCATGCATTAATGTACATGCTAAACTGAACATCAGCCCTGCAAGGAAAACAGAATTGTTCAAGAATTACCACTTCATTGTTTTTTTCTCTCCAGTATTTTCAGTGCCTAGATCTGGTAAAATCCTGAAGACAATAGCTTTATCGTTTTTCCACAGTGAATAAGTTTATTAACCTTTTAGAATTACTTCTCAAGTCTCATCTTCACAGATTATCACAGAACTAAGTACGTATTTCAGTTACAAGTGTTTGGTTTTTAATCTGATTTTTCCTTAACCTTACTGTGTTGAACTGGATCCTCCATGTCTCTAAGAGCTTTCTAAGACTACTCAGATTTTAAAAGTTACCCTACACAGCTGCTCGCAGCTGAGACTTCACATGAGAATTTTTTTCTCAGACTGAAGTTATACTATTAATCATAATAGAATCACTGAACAACAGACCTTCAGCTGTGATCCAAAGCTTATTTAAGTCAATGCAGGTCTTAGTTGATTACGGGAAGTTTTCTAAAAGGCCCTTAGTAAGTAGTATTAATGGACAATGTTGTCACTAACATGACCACTCCATGGAAGTAGTGGTTTCTCAGCAACAATGCAGAACCACACACTGCAGGTATAGGTTTTGACATGTGTTTCAGGCAATAGTAAAATAACTATGTTGTTTTCAGTTGCGTTAAAAAATTACTAAAGCTGCAAATAAAAAAATAGGATAGAGGCTGCTAATTTAATTCCACATTATCATAATGTATACTTTAAAATAAGGTTTGATTAATTTATTTAAATGCCAAGAAAAATAATTCCACATATGGAACAATCTTCCTAGCATGAATAATCAACAGCAGCATGACACACTGGTCTGAGACTCCACACAGCAATTAAATACAGAAGAGTGAATATATACAGCATAAACACTTTTACTAACTTCATACAATAAAATTCTTAAAATTGTGTTAAAGTTGTTGGTCTACATTTGCCAGCAACAAAACTATAAAATGAAAGCAGTTCGATGTCATGCTATTCCTCATAAAATCCACTCCCTGCCTTTAAGCACAGTCTCCCACTGCTCATCCTGAGCCACCAAAGGGCACCTCCCAGTCCCGCACATTCACTGGGGTTTCTATCAGTGTCTTGCAGGATTCTCACACTGCTTATTTTTAAAAGAAATTTAGAGAGGCTATGGTAGCAATTCCTCTCTATAGCCTAGTAAAGTAGCTGTTGGATCCGAGCCGTTCTGCTCGGTTACCTCTGTATAAAGCAAAGTTATCTAGAATTTAAGAACTCCTAGACTGAGTGACGTATGCCAGGCAGTCATCAGCCCGCTTCATCTGAGGACTCTGGTCATTCACTTGAAAAGTTTCCAAGGGTCATAAATAAATCGTGAGAAAATTTCTAGAGGAGGAACTTTCAAAAACATTTTTTCAATCATGTCGGTTACATAATTCTCTAAAGAGCTACATGGAAAATTACACTATCCTCTAAATCTGAAGACTGCATTCACCTGTTCAGCAGAAGGATTTTGGCCTCACTTAATTATACAGATCTCACTAGGCACTGCAAGTCCAGAGCTACCACTGAACACACTACAATACTACGTACCATCAGAGTCTATACTGTTTAGTGCTGTTGGAGGTATGATCGATACCTTACATTGGCCAAGTGGACATTTACGAGGATACAGATCTTTACAGGCAGTGTGAACCTACAAAAGAAACAAAAGATTATTTCAAAAGATAATAGTATCTTCGTCACAAAAATGGACTAATATATAACATTTAGGTGTAAAGAGAAGAGAGGCAAGACTGAAAAAAAAAAAATGTATCAGTGTTCAACTATGAAGGCTTACTACTTATTCCACAAAAATTCATCTTCAGCTACTGCTACAGCAGATAGGAATCATGCTGTCAAGGGAATCACTTACCTCCATCCATGAGCAAGGGAGGACCAAGTTCCCAGCAGCCAGTACCTGTGCTGGGGCCCATGGGCACACTTTGCAGATGCAAAGCAATAGGTTTTGTACATGCCTAGTCCACCTGAATGTTCTGGAAGATGTACCTGCACTAAAGCCAGCACACCTACCAACCCAAGCCAACCCTCCAAAGGTGGATCCCGTAAACTATGTATTGTAGATGCCCCTTCTATAGTTACTGGAAAAACAGGCACACACAGAGGGTGCTGCGCTTCACCTAACTTTCAAATCACCTCTGGAAATCACCAACCACTTCCCACTGCCTACACACAGAGCCTCGGACATCTATATGCCAAAAGCCTCAACCACAAAAAGACTGCTGACTTTCCACTTCTACAGCCTAGCATGTGAAACTCATCTTTTTAGACAAGTTACAAAAATTAAGATAAAACTCTATTTCAGAGAAACAGCAATAACATTATAAAATTTCAATCAGCAACCTACAGAGTGTCCTGAAGGAGACAACTTCAAGATTTTGCACAAATAAAAATAATAATACAACAATATTATTAAATATTAATATTAGTAACACTACTAAATATTACTAAAATATTATTATAGCAATGTCTACGATAGAGACAAGACAGTAACAAGATTATCAAGCATACAGAACAGGCATCTGAGCCTTCATTTATCAGTTAGGAGAAGGCGGAGAAAACACATTGGATGCCAACACCTATTAAAGAAAAGCTGCATCTGTGGGTGTATTAAAAATTAACTGAAGTAAGTGTGACAGTCACGATAAATTATGAACGTCAGAAAGAGTTGAGCTTGCACAAGCTCCCTGCTCCCACATAATCCAAAAGCTCAGTTATGAACTGACTAGATAAAAATAATGGCAAGCAATAAAGCTGGCAAAATCCTGGACTCTTGGACGTCGTTCACTGCACCTACCATAGCTTTACACCAAAGGCACTTCCAATCTTGCAGGCGTAAAACACTGCCACAAGTCTTGTCGCAGACTGCGCATTTGGCACTGACAGGCAGGTTACCCTCTAACCATTGGTGAGGCATAGCTATCTGTGAAGAAGTAGTCAAAAAGTTAAATACTCAGAAACATACATTAGAGGCTTTTGTCTCTCAAATAGAGGTGTATTTTAACTATTTCCCAAAGCTCTATCCTCTCATCAAAGAAGCAGGTATGACTGACCAGGACAAGCAACACTGATACTCTCCAGGCAACAGCTATGAAGGTGGACTGTGGTGATGTTTGACATGTTAGGTAGAAAATGGGAGAGTTGAAGAAGGGAGACATCTCCCTTCTGAACAGACCAACTATTCATGGTACTGTGGTAGCAACTAACAACAAAACAACAGGGCAGTTAAATCTAAAGACTCTGTAATGCAAATAAGTACCAATTCACCTAACGTTGACGACATAACACAAACCACTTAAAATAACTAAAATTCAAGAGAATAGGCAGGGTGACAGAATATCTCTGTGGCTTTACACCCTGCCTTGCTCACCAAGTTAACAGCTCATTAAAGTAGTTCCTGAATGCAGTACAAAGCTTTACTCAGTGCACTGTTTGTCCCAATAATACCACAGGTAACTCATAGTTGTATACTATGGCATCATAGAATCACAGAATGGTTTGGGTTGGAAGGGACCTTAAAGACCATCTAGTTCCAACCCCCCTGCCTTGGGCAGGGACACCTT